GGGTCCCGCCGACCGTTTAACGGCGGTGGCGGTTGGGCGGCGCCTGGGGTGTGGGTACCTGGCGGTGGGTGTCAGCCCGGCGCGGTGTGAGGGGACGGGTCTGGCGGCTGAACTGGGGGGGAGGGGGCAGCGCGCCCTTTCCACCCGGTTTTCTCCCTCCTCGCCTGGCCGGGCTATGGCTGCTTCCCGCGCCGGTCGGCAGCCGGTAAGTCCCCTCCGCCTGTGTGAGGTTGGGGGGTCCCGCCGACCGTTTAACGGCGGTGGCGGTTGGGCGGCGCCTGGGGTGTGGGTACCTGGCGGTGGGTGTCAGCCCGGCGCGGTGTGAGGGGACGGGTCTGGCGGCTGAACTGGGGGTGAGGGGGCAGCGCGCCCTTTCCACCCGGTTTTCTCCCTCCTCGCCTGGCCGGGCTATGGCTGCTTCCCGCGCCGGTCGGCAGCCGGTAAGTCCCCTCCGCCTGTGTGAGGTTGGGGGGTCCCGCCGACCGTTTAACGGCGGTGGCGGTTGGGCGGCGCCTGGGGTGTGGGTACCTGGCGGTGGGTGTCAGCCCGGCGCGGTGTGAGGGGACGGGTCTGGCGGCTGAACTGGGGGTGAGGGGGCAGCGCGCCCTTTCCACCCGGTTTTCTCCCTCCTCGCCTGGCCGGGTTATGGCTGCTTCCCGCGCCGGTCAGCAGCCGGTAAGTCCTTTCCGCCTGTGCGGGGTTGGGGGGCTCCGCCGACCGTTTAACGGCCGCGGCGGTGGCGGTTGGGCGGCCCCTGGGGTGTGGGTACCTGGCGGTGGGTGTCAGCCCGGTGCGGTGTGAGGGGACGGGTCTGGCGGCTGAACTGGGGGGCGGCGGTAACGGCCTGTGGGTCAGCTGGCGGGGCGGGGGAAGGAAGACCCCCTCGGTGCCGGGGTAAGGCTCCCTGGGTGCGGGGGAAGGCTCCCTCGGTGCAGGGCCAAGCACCCCACAGTTACCAGGCTTTTAAAGAAACTTGTTGTTAAAGGGTCTCGTTTCCAGCCCTTGCCCTTGGTAGAGCTCCGGTACCGCGTATCCCGAGGAAGGAGCCGTGGCGCTGAAGCTGGGCTGGTGAAAGGAATTCCCTTTTCTCCACACCTAACGGCAGGGCTGCCAGCCCCACGCGTGGAAGGCGCCCAATCCATCCACGCCTGGGTGCTGGGAAACCGGCTCCGGTTGTGAGCGTGGAATAGATCGGTGTATTTACGGCATGGGTTTTACACCTCAGCAACAGCAGAGCGCAGAGGGGTTCCAGAAATAACACGGAGTGGGAGGAATTTGGGGAAAAAAGTTCCTCCGCCCTACCTGCTTTTGTGTTTTCTGCTAGCGGGAAGGTAGGTGAGGTACCTGCCTCTGGTGATTCTCTGCTCATTGCTGCCGCTGTGCTGTTGTGCCAGTAGAGCTGAGTGTGAAGCTGCCCTGAGAACTTGAAAAAAAAAAAAATAAATAAAAGGAAAACGACTGTTACTCTTTCTTTTGAAGTTTCCTTTCCTTGGAGTAGTCTTCATCCCAGGCAGTGTCTTGCTCGGCTTCTTGATGGCGCACCCGAGGAAGCAGCGTGGGAGCAGGAGCGCGAGAAGGATGAGGGGCTGCTTTGAGTTCGGCTGCTTGAAGGAGTTGTTTGTTGGACCATTGTTGGAGCCATCACAGGGCCCGACCACGTCCCGGCCAACCTCGGATGGAGAGTGAAAGGGCTTCATTCATGTTCCCCTGCTTGCTCACAACTTGAGCATAGCCTGCTTTCTGTCGGGGCTCCCGCCCAGAGAGCTCCATTTCACACATTCTCTCTGGATGCAAGGCCTTCTCTCTGTAAGGCCTGTATGAATCCTTTGCAGTTGCAGTATAAAGTATCACAATACATTAACTTTATATAAGCTTTCTCCCTTCATACATAACATATGTATCTAGCGAGGTGGAGAGTCAGTACTTGACACCTTATTGCTCTCTACAACTACCTGAAAGGAGGGTGTAGAGAGATGGGGGTTGGTCTCTTTTCTCAAGTCACAGGCGACAGGACAAGAGGAAATGGCCTCAAGTTGCGCCAGGGGAGGTTCAGGCTGGATATTAGGAAAAATTTTTTCACGGAAAGGGTTATCAGACATTGGAATGGGCTGCCCAGGGAGGTGGTTGAGGCACCATCCCTGGAGGTGTTCAAAAGACGGGTTGATGTAGTGCTGGGAGGTATGGTTTAGTGATGATGTTCCTTGTTTGTTGTGTGGGTGTCTATTTTTGTCAGTTAAGTTGACGGTTGGACAAGATGATCTTTAAGGTCCCTTCCAACCTAGAAGATTCTGTGACAGGCTGAGTCTGATAGGGGACAGAAAAAATGTGGAAAGAAAAAAACCTAAGAGCCAAAGTACAAGAAACAAGACAAAATTATTTTGCTGGTTAATGTTTGCATGAAGAATGTTAAAAAAAAAAGCAGTAAACCAGCAAAAGCAAGTGAGAGCGGGATTGAGGGTCCACTAAGTGGATAGAATTGGTAAGGGAAGAGAGAAGCCTGTACATGGAAAGCTTTACAGAGAATACTGTAAAAACAGGGGTATAACATATTTCTGTAATGGAGAAGGGTGGTTTTGTGTTAGATATATAAATGTAAATGATGTAAATATAATGATGTAAAATATATTGCCATCAAATAATATTTCCTAGTTTAACACATGCTGTATAATTGTTAAAGTGTTTCTTACTGCATTATGGGGAAGATTTTTTTTTTCCGTTGTTTTGCAAAAGAAATGTAAAATCGCTCTCAGAATGCAGCCCTCTATAAATCTGTTTACAATCAGACTGCACAAAGCATTTAGTATTTGACTTCTGGGAAAGTTCTGGCAGCTATTGCCACTGTACAAAAGCATACAGTGCTTTTCGTCAACTAATTAAAAAGGAAGGGGAAAAAAATAAATCATTGTTGCAGTTGAAGAGGCCTTCTGGTAGCAGCTGCCATTGTCGCATCCAAGACGAGCATTGCTTTCTCATTCAGACAAGGACCATCAACAACAAGGGGGTGATGTGGTCAGGGGTGAAGAGTGCTCTTCAGGAAACACTGTGCTAAAACTGCAACAGGCACTGCTGAGCCAGCACAGCCAAAGAGGTGCACATCTTCCAAAAGTGACTGCAGTTGTGATACCAGTGCTGATACCAGCATATTTTACTGTGTCGAGGCCATCTCGGAGGGCTGCACCAGATTTCCGTTTCTTTGTTTTTCCTTCCTTGGCAACACGCAGGTCAAGAGAGGACCACAAAGCGCAAGGCTTTCTCCTGTGTAGCAGTAGCTGATCAGTCCCATCCAAACCAGCACTGTCATCATCATCCTTTGCCTGGCCCATGGAGCGCTAGCTGTGAGGAACTGGTTTCTTTTCTGTCATCAATCTTGATTCTCCACCTGCTGCCTCTTGCCACATCTATCCATAGGCAATGCGGAAAACAGGTACTGCATGTGCTAGATTTTCAAGTTACTTAAACACCTGTTGGTGAAGAAAATCCTTAGTGGCATTTACAGATGAATACCCTGCTGTCTGTAGAATCACCTCATCACAACCAGGAAACTAGCAAAGTGTGACTGTTTATTTGTTTCTAAATGCCTCAAAATACAGCCCAGAAGTTGTCTCTTTTTCCTCTGTCTGTCCTGGGTCATTTCAGGTCGTTCAGGAAGATTCTGTCCTGCCTGAAGTTTCTTCAGACAAACATAAGGCAAAAAGGTCCTCCCCTCTGTTGTTTTTGTTGTTTTTTTTTAAAAAGTTTCATTCCAAGGACTCTCCATATATACATGTAGTAAGGAAATCTTGTGACGACTTATGGTTTAAGGCAACCAGCTGTCTCGTGTGTTGAAGTGGGCTACAAAAGGAAAATAGTTGCTGCACCAGAAAGCCGTGTAACAACTCATTTCCAAGAGCTGAGAGAAGAATTCTGAGCTCCTGATGTTTCGACCAATCCCTAAAAGTTGTCTACTGTTTCCGTCATACTTGACAACCATGAGTGAAATTTGGCAAATGAGTTTTCACTGAATTGTCTTCTCATCAATACTTATCTTTCTACACACCTTTTATGGGGGCTGTTTAGTTCTGTCCTTGACTCCTGTGTGTTGCTTTTTATTTTATAGAACAGACTGATGCATTAATTCCATGTAATTTTTAATGTATCTCCTTTTTTACTCAGCATCTTAATGAACTTTTCATTGTATTTTTTCTATCTCATCCTCCTGTATTTTCTGCTCTCTTTCTTTTGTGTTATTTTACCAAGGTTTGCTTTCTGTTCCCTCTACTCATCCCATCTGTTCTCTGTCTTTCTCTCTCTCACGTGTGTATCGACATAGAGAGATGTCAATTGTATGCATGCCTACCACAGGTGTCTACATTTTACATTTCAACTACCCAAAAATGCAAAGTATTTTCCCATTTGCTTCCAAAATCTGTTTAGTTTTCGACTTCCTTCCTGTGATAGCAATATTGACATTAACTGGATTAAATGTAACTTTGGTTATATAGGAAAGCAATTTAATGAAGAGATTAATGCACTTTGGTATTGAAAGATTAAAGCAGATTTTCTGGCTTAATGAATGTGCACAGCTGTTCATGGTAATGGAAAACTCAGGGCTTTGAAAGAGTCACGTTTGGAGTATCCAAGGGGAAAATTAATGTGATGTTGTCTGCCCTTGTGGCTGATGCCCAGGCATCCTTCTGAGGGTCTCTGCACAACCTCTGTAGCTGCTTGGGACTGGCAGGACCCTCACCTCCTAACTAAGCACGTGAACATAGATTATCCGTTTTTGTTTTTTTTTTCTTCAAGCTTTGGAGAGCAAATTTCAGTCGTCTCTACAAGCAGGATGGCAAGTAGTTATTTGCCCAGACTGCAAGTCTGGTTCTGCTGGGGACTTATGCAGAGAGATGCAGGTAGCCTGCGACCCAGCTTTTGCTGTGGAATGGCCCAGTGTTGTGCAGTTTTACTCGGAAATACGTGGCAAATTTAAAAGATAATTAAGGTTTCTTTTTAGTTTGTTTCTGAAAGAAAAAAACAATTTAAAAATGTTTTGTTGTTTTGAAATGTTGTTTTTGAAATGTTAATGTCTCAGGCAGTGGTTTTTCTTCGCATGCTGTTTTTAATGGGCAAGACAAATTTATATAAACCAATATACTTAATTAACTGAATTTGCAGAAATAGAGATGCAGTTCCATGAAAGCTAGACAACCAACCCTTGAAAAAGTGGGAGAGGGAAGGAGCGAGATGTGATTTGGACCACCCCAAGCTATCTAAATGGCGTGCTATTTTGATGAGAGTATGAATTCTGAGAAAGTGGTGAGAAACAGGAAGTATTTACGGGAATATTACAGCTCTTGTAGCATTTGGATTACAAGCTTTGAGTTATTCACTGAATACAGCTGGATGAGATGTTGTCCTCAAGCATAATTTAGCTGCTTCATCCAATGGATACTAATTTGAAAAGACTGGCTAGTCTGGTGACTTAATTGCTTTCAGCATGATTTGTATTTCTTAATTTTTGAGTTGTCACCATTTTTCTATACTGGTGATACAGTAGTAACTTGTTTTTCCACCAGATGACATATTATTTCTCTGAGAAGTACTCAGAATGCAGGCGTCACGTGGTCAGTTTTGTGGATTTAATTTCTCTGTGTATTTGTTAGACCATAGCAGAGTGAAGCTGTGTGTGGTGCTCGTGTTGAGGGAGAGACACATGATGCCCTTGGAAAATTTCAGAAAGAAAAACGTAAGCTATTGCTTTTCTATTAAGAGAATGCTCGAAGTGATGTCAGATGGAACAGGTTCACAAAGCGAGTCTTCTGTAAGGAAGGTGGAGGGAGGTGAGTCTCCATTTGGAGAACAGTAGGTCTTGGTCCTGTAAGGTTTGTTGCGTGGAGAACAGAAGTATAAAAATGCAAGAATGTAGGCTTCTAAATCAGTGTGACTGAGACTGTTTCGAGTTGAGCTGCACAATATTTCATGAAAGTTTTGTAGTCTAAATTAAGAGCCTTTATTGCAGCATTTCGGCGAAGCTGATTCCTGAAGACTCCATTGCGTCTTGGGACAACTAAGTGGATCTTCCTGTTTCTAGCTCTTTCTAGCATTTACAATTTTGCTGTTAATGTAGTGTGGGGGTATTTATTTGCATGTGTGTGCTACCAGAAATCTCCTCATTGTATGTACTGTGTTCAGGTCAACTCTGGCCATTTTCTTGAAATAACTTTTACAGGCTGTTTCTGTGCTATTTTATGGGAAGAAAATATTTTTTGAGACCCTGAATTATTCCTTGTTGATCATCCTTGCCAACCTTCTCTTTAAAGCAAGAACTTTTGGACAAGACATTAAAATGTGTTCTCATGAATGGTATAAATAATATTATTTCTGCTTGAAATTCTTGTTCTCCCCTATCCTGTGGTTATGTCTGTTCTCCCATTACATTCTTATTGTTGGGTCACACTCAGCTGGTAAATGTATGAGGTTTTGGGGAGTGGTGGTTAATGTTTTTGGTTTACTGGGTCATTACCTCTGACAGAAAGAACTAGAAAGAGTGATCTTATGGTTAAGGTGCTAAATTACATATGGGGTGAATGAGATTCATGTTCTTGTTCTCTTGGTCTTTCCCTTTATTATCTCCATTAATAGCTTTGTATCATCTCTGCATGCACAAAGTGAAGATGATACGTCTTTTCCTCCCCAAGGACCGTGATGAAGAAAACTGTGCATAAAACATAATTTCTTTACTGGGGAAAGTTCTCCTAAGCACCAGGTTCTGTCATGTCAGTTTTTTGTCTGGTGTCTGAAATGACGTAGAGCTTGCCATGGACTTTTAGATATTTATATTTCCAGAAAAATGGTTTTAATTTTCACTCATAACCGTGTAGTGTCATTAAATTAACCTTTATGTGCTGAAGAAAGGTGAAATATCCTGTCTTAAAATAGCAGCAAATTTGAGATGTCTCAGAATATCTTGGCAATTGCATAAATACTTATTGCAGAAATTGTTACTCTCTTTCCTGACTGCAGTACATATCCGTAAGAAGCATGTTTGGAGAACCTTAGAAATACAGAGAAATTAACCATCTGGGACACCTGAAATGGATTTTTAAGCAGTGATACAGCCAGATGTCTGTTGTGTACAAGCATAACCACAGCTTTCTAAGCAAAGCACAGAGTGTGAGAGATGGCCTGTAAATTCCCTGCTGAGGGGGAGAAGGCCCTCCAGCCTTCAGTGGGATGCCTCAGACACTTGCAAGGGGATAAATAATGCAGACCTGGCGTTCAAAGAACTAATGAGTCTCACGGGCTCCTGAAAAGCAGTGGGAAGACCACCTTGTGAAGACAGGATAGTTCTGCCACTTGTGTGGTGAGCTTGCTAGTTCTTTGTTCTTGAGGTCATTGTGTCCGATAAGTGATCACTTATCCATGAAACGCATGTGCAAGTGCACACGCCTGCATATGCTAACGAAGATTATAGAGATCATGCTAAACATATATGACTATGGCACTCGTCTCTCCACCCCAATCATGCTACACGTCACCTGAGAGAAGGGAGAAACCTGAGATGAGACTGTCCTTGGCAAGGGGGGTGGACTGTGCTAATTCAGCGAACATAAAAGGGGAAAATAAGTGCCCTTAGGGAGAACAAAGAAGGAGATCGTGCCTGGGAAGATTTTTCCCAAGAAAGAAGAAGATTATGTCTGGGAAGATTCTCTGAAAAAGACACTGGAACCAGGACCAGCAATTTCTTTATCTCTGTCCTTTTCTCTATCTTTTCATTTTTCTAGCCCTCTGTTTCTCTTTTCTCTAAAGAGTTGTTAAGTGACAGTTAGTACTGCAAAGTAATGACCTTGAGTACCGCTTGCCATAAGTTGTTGTATAGCTGTTGCTAAGTAACACAATGCATACTCATCTCTTGCCATAATTTGTTTTATACCTCACCAATTATTGTAAACTTGTTAAGACCTACACTAATCATTTTGGGAAACTAATAAAAGTTTGTATATGGACCTCGAGATTTATCTCACCTTAGTCCACGCCGTTGGGGTTTTACAAATCTGAGTCACTTACCTCTTCCACCTTTCCTGAGAGTGGGGCATGAGACATAGAAGGCACCTTGTTTTCTATGTTTATTATTTCTTATTGTCCTCTATTTCATACAGAAATTTGGTCAAATTTTCAGTGATAAACAGCCAATATTACAGTGGAAGAACTAGTTATTGATTTTTGTTTCCAGAAAAGAGTAAACTCTTGAGTTTAATTGCTAGGTTGTAATTAATCTCTCCATTCTTTTAGAAAATGAAGTTACAGAGTTAATGGCTGAGGACTCCAGTCCGTTTCTGCACTTAGTTCCGTACAGCAAATACAGCTGTAGTACCATGGTGGTTACTCTAATGTCTTCTGGAAATGGTCAGTAAGGTTGTGGGTGTTGGTGGTTTGTCCACTGAAATTCAAGCCAACTGTTTTTTTTCTTGGAGAGTACCACGTGGCTATGCAGGGATTTTGGGGGTAGCCTAGTACGTTCTGGTTTTAGGCTGGTGACATGAAGATGAAAGGTCTCTGTTCTGTGGTTATGCTGAGCCTCTTGCACTGGCTTTTGCTGTGGAGGCTTAATGGGTTGTTTTAGAGGAACTTCCTTCTACTGGTGCCAATAGGGGTGGCTTAAGTATCAGACTATGTAACTGTAGTTGTTAGCTGTGCTGCCACTCTGTCTCAGATGCACTTTTTCTTTAAATGGAGAGGATACTGACAGTTTTCAGTATTTCTCAGCCCTTTTTAATAGTAATTTCCATATGATAGAATACCTTGAGAGATTTCTTTTTCAGACATGCTTTGGATGAACATTTTTTTTTTTATAGCCCTAAACTGTCTTATCTTTAAGTTGTTCACTTTGCTAACACATTTTTCCTCGCTATATTAATCTAGAATGGAGTTACCTGATTATAATAGTCTAAAATGAGAGTTAGTGCAGTCCATAGTCCCACACAATACTGTGCAATACAAGAAAATGACAAGTATTTGCTGTCAGAAATGTTCATATCCTTTTAGCTACAAGAAATCTGAAACTTGCCATGCATGTCTGTTATAAAAGGTGACACTTTTATGGGCTTGTAGGTGTTAAATAAAAATTTTCCTACTGTTGGCTATATACATGTTCCCAGGAACCAGTAATAGCATGTGGATTGGAAATGTAAGACAAAGGACAGCATGGACCTGTCACTGTTTACCCCTTTGACATGGAATGTTTGTTTATAAATACAATTTGTTTGTGTGAACTAAGATATTTCCTTTTAATCTTATACATTTTTAATATGCTCATGTCTTGATGCTAGATTGCTAGCTGAAGTTTGAAACTGAATGTGCACCTCTAGACATTTCTAATAATACATGTACTGTATTATTTTACATAAATAACAATTTCAATTCTAGCTACTCAGAATGAATTCTGATTGATAACATAATCACATTCCTGTGATTATGGTCTGTGTTTCGAACTCTGACACTTAAATAGTTTTAAAATATTTTTTCCTTCATTTCTAAGAGCAAACCAACTGTGATCTGTTTTCTGTATATGGTTTTCACTTGGGCTTGTTTACTTTATTTTGTTCATATAGCTTTTTGCAAAACATGGACTTCACTTTGAGCCTGCAAATAGTCCTGCAAAGTTGATTTGAATGTTTTCTAAAATTTTGGAATAAAGTTGAACTGACAGATCTTTTTGCAGACTTTTGTCTTTGTTGGTTCCGTGTAAATCATAAGAAACGAGTTCTAGCGTCCTAATAGAGTTCCTTTGTTGCTGTTGCTCATTGCTTTGCAACTCACCTCACTAATGTATTTTTAAAATGATTTTTCTGTAGAAAAATGATGGCTATCGAACCTTGCCCTTGTCTGGGCACGTTGGTTTTGGCAGTTTACCTGATCAACTGGTTAAAAAATCCATCAAGCAGGGCTTCTGCTTCAACATTCTTTGCATTGGTGAGTAGTATCTGGGTGGCTTAAGGCTTTAGTAATATATCCGTCCTTAGGAAGTCACTGAAATTTAAATCCAGTTGCAGTGTTAAACTCTTTCTTTGATTTAAAGCATGAACTGTAATTCCATCCCTTCCCCCAGCTTTGCTTATTTCTATCCATCCTTTGTTTTTATATTTAGCATTTTCATAAACAGCATGAAGACCAAAAATGTTGAAAATGGGTGCCGTGTTTTTATTGATTTATGGGCAGTTTCTTGAGTTCTTTTGAGTAAACTTGGCTACATGCTGTTTTTTCTGTAATAAAAAGCTTCAGATCAACAAATCCTAAAATTCCAAGGTGGTGTTACTGCTTTCTGTACTTATCAAATGCTTACTCTAGTATTTTACCTTTATTAATAAAAACTCTGTGTTGAACCCTGTGATTTCACAGCTAATTACTTAGCTTTTTAAAATCTGTAGGAAATTAGTTCACATTTTTTAAAGGTACCAAAGCATCAGGAGACTGTTCTGCTTATTACTGATTAGCAGGTTACTATCTCTTATCTGTAGGGTGAAAAAATTAACTAAAAGATATTTAGTGCTCATTATGGAAAGGAATGCAGGCAACCATTTTGCTCAGAGAAATCAGTTGACAAGATTGTGTGTTAATTTGTGGAGTTGCTGTGATAACACTTTCTATGCTTAGTAGGTATTTATTTGATGTGCAAAATATCTTCCCCAACCCTTCTGTTTAACTTTAGGGGAAACTGGAAGTGGGAAATCAACCTTGATGAACAGTTTGTTTAACACCACTTTTGATGACCCTGTGTCATCGCATTTTCTGCCAAGTGTAAAACTTAGAGCCCAGACTTACGAACTCCAGGAAGCCAATGTTCTCTTGAAGCTGACCATTGTAAATACGCTGGGATTTGGTGACCAGATAAACAAAGAAAATAGGTAAGTGCCCTCTTGTTGCTATGGTGTGCAGAAGTTTTGTTCTTCAACTGCAAGTTGATTTTTAGTAGTAGTAAATATTTGTCTTACGTGTGTTTCAAATATTTGGTTAACTGTTTCCTCTGTGTACCAAAGTAACCATATTTTTCTTCTCATCCAGGAAATGATGTGAAAAATCAGATGAACTCTGGTCCTTTTTTTTTATGATATAATCTTTTATAAATGAATATAAATAAAATGTGCAATAGTCACTAGAATTTCTTTTGGGGTGGAGGAAGCAGGGAGAAGGACTTTTAGAATGGGAGACTTTTTAAACAACAAAACAGGTTATAAAGTACTTTGGATTCTGTAGATTAGATCTATAGGGTTTTTAAAAATTTGATTGGAACATATTGAAGACCTTAAACTAGGATGAACATCATGTGGATTACTTTGCTTTTTATGTTGAACAGCTTAATCAGAAGATGCAAAGGTATGACACTAGTGTCTTTCAGAACTTTTTTTGAGTCTCTGCTTTTATGAATTCAAGATTTTAAAGTAGTGAACTGTATCTCAGCAGATTTTGTTTCTTTCACCTTAATTGTAAAGAATTTTAGCAAACTTTTGTGTGTAAATGGTGATAATTATAAATGAAGACTAGAGAGTCACATTGAGATTATCATGAGAACTATGGTTTATAATGTGACTGGAAAATAGCTACTGATAGTGATTTGGATGAATGAGGTGCAAGTAGATAATAGCATAGAGGCTTTGATGTGTGGTGTAGGAGCTGCCTTTTAGTCCTCCTTTTAATTTTGTGTGTAACAACTACTGAATTTTCATAGCATTTTATCTGGTATATAAACTTTGTGTAGCAGCAGAAACATAAGGGCATGCTGCTTGTACATCTAGCAACACTTCTTTTAGAAAGCAGATTATAATCTGTTTTTAAGTAGAATAAAGTATACTTAAACTTTACTTGCTGCAAATCAGATTTACATTCTTCTCTTACATTCCTCCTTTTCAATTTTTGTCTATTGTTTAAGAGCTCTCTCATGTACAGTACTTCATCTTCAGAAGATAAAGGAGGTCCTATTTCTTGGTACTGGTAATTGCATGTTCCTTCTTTTCTTGTATTGTATCTAAGAGTTTCTTGTACCTTCCTTGTATCTAAGAGTTCTGCATTTGCACAGCTTGATTGCAAAAATTCATAAAACATCACTTGGGAAGATCGGTTATAATCATAACTAACTTTATGTAGCTTTTTTCACTAATAGTAGTTAGGAAATGCATTAGGTGCACAAATCTTTCTTGAGTAGTCTGTTAGAAATTAAGATTACAGCATACATTTAATTTTCTGCTGTACTGAGTAGATACTTGAGCAGCCTTTTGACATGTAAACCAAAAATCCACAAAACAATATAAGAGGAATTCCTTGCTTAGTCTGGCTTTGTTTAGGAGTAGCTAATCTCTGGTTATTAAATTTTATTTCTTACAGCTATCAGCCGATAGTGGATTATATAGATGCACAATTTGAAGCCTATCTCCAGGAAGAACTGAAAATTAAACGTTCTTTATTTAGCTACCATGATACTCGCATCCATGTCTGCCTCTATTTCATTTCACCTACAGGCCATTCCCTAAAAACCCTAGATTTGTTAGCCATGAAAAGCCTAGACAGCAAGGTAAGACTTTGAAACAGAGTTTTAAGAATTTGTCTTACTTTCTGAAGCACCTTGCAGCTTTTAGATCCTCTGCCACCTTTCTATATCTGCATGTTTGGTTTGGGGATGATTTTTGGTATTGGTATACCTTAAGTCCAGAATAAATTGGTTCTGCAAGTAGCTTGCAGTTCATCACCTGTTTATTTACAAATCAAAAAGAAAGAGACAGGCATCTGACAAGAACATTGAAAAAAGCAGCACAACAAGGTTTAAAAATAAAAAGAGTAAAAATATTAGAATCACACCAACTTTACTTTTAACAAACTGTTAACATCTTAGTGTGATTGGATAGGGTACCCTCCATGAGTGCCCTAATATTTCTAATTAAGCTTGTTTCTAATTCACTGTCAAGTTTTGGAACTGCTGGAAGGTTGACATATAAAAAGCTTTGCAGCACTGTGAAGACCTTATTGTAGGTAACTGAAGAGGCAAGTGCCATGAAACAGAACAATTTGCCGGCATGGCTTTTTCTAAGATAGGCTGCATTGGTGTTTTAAACTTTCATATCTTGATTTGTTTTGAAAGCTTTAAAATAGCAGTGTTTAGTGTGATTACTTGTACTTTCTGAATGCTTAACTTTCTTCCTGTTATGGGGCTGTGTGAACTGGGTGAAGTGAAATGTTTAAACTGTTTTAAGAAACCTTTCATCATTTGAATTTAATTTGTTGAAATTTTGAGGAATTTAAAAACTTAAATGCATTTGCTGTTCCTCTAGCCTATTCTTTTGTGCTTTACTAGAGCTTCTGCTAAGTTTTCTTTCTGCATTTTCTTGTTTGTAAGATGTTTCTTCAAGATAACAAGGACCAAATCAGCTGTCTCTGCCACATTTGTGATTGACGAGCATGTTTGGTACTTTTGAAATTTTGTTTGTGGATGTATTTTGCATTTTGAACTTTCTCAATAGCACAGAGCAAGTGAGGGGGAGGAGGTATGGTGGGACAAAGGTATGGTAGAGCAGGGTCACTTCTTTCTGCTATGGTGTTGGTTTATGCCAGATTAAAGTGTTTGTGAAGTTACTGTGCAATAAGCACTGATGGCTAAAGAGCCTTGATACTATAAAATGGGACAGTTTCATGGAGCATATTGTTCTACTCTGAGTTTTGATGTTGGAGCTTGTGTTAAACCACAAAAATATTTGGTTTCTAGGTTGTGCCCTCTCTTACCGAACTTCCTTTAAACAGCATTGCTTCCAAAGGAAAAGGAAATAGATCCGTGAGTCCTAGCATCCTGAGAAAATATTTTTCCATCAGGATAAAACAAAAGTAATTCTGCTTTGGGGGATTTTAGCTTCTAGCCACCTACTCTAAATATTTTTGGTTCTGCTTTGGCTGAGAGTGAGAACATGAATGACATATAACTCTGTTGTTTTATCGCTTTGCAAGGGATTCTACTTTATGATCTTACTAGAGAAATAGACATATGCACACACACAACACGCGCACACACAAAGTATGTATTTTAACTGTAGTTTAGTTTTCATCTCATTGTGGAACATATTTGTCATGCATTCTCCTAGTGGCAATTCAGAACTCGGGATTTCCCAGGATGTGGAAGTTCTAGGGCATGTTCACCCAGTATGGGATTCCATGAAGAGAAAGCGGTACAGCAACACGCATGCATCAGATGTATCAATCTATGTCAAAAGTTGTCTTCAGTTTCTTCCTAAATCCACCACAGTGTACACTGTTACGCTTTTGTTTCGGTCTGCCTGGTACAAAACGAGACCAGATGACGCAGTTTAGAGATAAAGAAGATGCTTAGAAAAGGATAGGGTCATCCTATACTCCGTAATCCTGGGAGAAAAAACCAGACATATAGGTGGGCAATTAATTTTTCTCTATTGCATATAAATCGGATGGCTAACTAAGAATTTGGCCTCTAGCTTTTAGACTTTGGAAAGTCCTGTAGTTTTGTTTAGGACTGAATCACTGCAGGGCAGACAGGCCCTTCTACTAAGGGAATCTTCTGTATGCTTTCTTGCCATGAGCTAGCAATTATTCAACTAATATACCTGCATTTTTAAACCGTTCTTGCAAAATTATACTGAGATTATTGTTAAATCAGGAAATGGCATGAGTGCACCTTGTAGGATTTGAATTTGTTTTTTTTTTTCTTCAAAAAGAATCTTTGGACATTTTTCATAGAGATACACTTAAATCAGTCTGCAAGATATCAACCAATAATAATATCAAGTATATGTATTTTTTTCCTTCTCTGTAGCATAAAAGGGCAACAGATGTTTTGACATTAATGTAAGGTGTTACCTGAAAATCTTTAATGTAGAGTAATAGCAAGTTTTCTACTTGAGGGGGGAAGCAACACTGCATTTTAGGCAGAAGGATGATCAGAGGGCTGAGTTTGATGGTAGCAAACAGGACAGTAATGTGCATGGGTAAAGTTTATCCTGGTGACTTTATATGGTCATTCTGCACTGCTAGTGAGAGAGGCAGTCTGAGCTGCTTCTTCCCATTGTGCATACTTAAGTGTTTTGGGCAGCTAGTTCCCTGGATGAGAGAACCGTTTTAAATTGAAAGTTACAGATTTTTGCTTGGTTAGGGAACTGATGAAGCCGAAAAGTAATGTGTCTCCTTGGGCAGCAGCACAGATTGTAGTTCTACCTGGCAATGAGCAGCTGCAGGCAAAGGGAAGGGTGGGACTGCTGGTTTTATTGCAAGTGTGGGCTTTTTATGTGGGGTAGTAGTGATTCTGTATTAATGGCGTATGGCTTTGTAGCGAAATTCAGTTTTGCAGTTGTTGAGAGTTGTAGCTGGAGAAGAGGCTGGAAGGGGGTCAGTTGGTTTCTGAGTGGGTAGCAGGCATAGCAGGGAGCACTGGGACTTGGGGCACATCTATGTGTGCTGCAAATCAATACAGTTTAAGTCTCTTGTTAGTACAAATGTGTGCTTTCAATTAATGTTATTCTTGGATGACAGTACTGGGATACTAATTCTCAAGTAAACCTTAGGTGCTACAAGCAGAAATTAATTTTGTTTAACAGATAAAGCAAGGATAACTTGTTGTTGTTGTTGTTGCTTATCTGAAGCCAGAGTAGTATTGCTTTTAAATTTTAATACAATGGTTGTGATTTAACATCAGTGTTGATAGCTATAATCACATTTTCTGGTGATTTTGCTTTTCTTTTGTTACTGATCTCCTCAGTAGTCTTTCTCTGCTATTCATTATCTAAGAAATTCTCTCCTAATTAATGAGTGCTTGAAAAAATTTCATGTTGAAAAGGCAGAGTAAAGGTTAATTTAATTCTAAGGACTCTGTGTTCCATCCATTTTTAAAGCTATATGATAGAAAAACTAAATTGATGTCCCTCAGCTAATTTTATTGAAGCTGTGGATTACTCCAAGCTGTAATAGATGGTTTATACAATTTTAATTCAACTCAGTTATTAAAAAAAATATTATAGCATTTTATTTGGTTTTAGATATTTTACCCCATGCGTGCTTAGGTTGCATATGCTACACAATTAAGGGCTATCATCGGGTAATCTTAGAAGTCATACTTTGGAGTCAGCATGGTTTTTTTTTTATTTGGTCATTTTGTTTAAGACAGAAGACTTATTTCAAAAGCATCCATTTTGAACCGTTATTGACAGTCAATGGTTAGGCATTTCCATTCAGACAGACAATACAGAAGAATAAAAAGAATGTGTGTGTGTGGTTCTTATTTTTTTTTATCTCCTCCTTTTTTGCATCTATCATCAAGGACCTCTGTAAAACTCTTGTCTTCTGAAATCTGGAAGAACTGTTTTTATTGGTTTTCCCAAATATTTGGACATTGGCATCAATTCTTTGTATCTAGTTCTGAAAATGCATATTTTGGAAGTGGTGATAGTATTTTAAAGAAAAGAATTGGCATCTACTACCTTCCTAAGTTACTGTCATAACTATTTTAGGAAATAGGTCAGTTTACTTTAGTAGAACTGAATTTCAAGTTCTGAATAATTAGTGTAAAGACTGGCGAGCAAGATACTTCAGACTTTTTTGTTCCTCTACTCGCAACAGATACTTGAGAAAGTCTTTGCTGCAGTGGTGAGTGAACAAGATGTTGGTTGTAGCTGAAGGGAAGAGGCTCAGGGACAGGCAATGTTTAATAGCCCCCTTCCTTTTCTTTATATATTTAAACTGCCAACTTTCATTTAACACCTGCACCATGTCACTTGGTGCTATAAACTAAACCAATCTAATTTTTAAACAGAGATATAACAGAGATACAAATACTTAATGTTGTTTAGTTATTAAGTAGGCGTTGCTGTTCTTTTGAGAACTCTACTGTATGAGACATTCTTCTTTGTTCTTTTCTCACAATCAGTTATTTTTAAGGGATTGCATTAAATAAGCTGTTATTTTATTAAATGATGCCAGTGATTATATTTTTCATGGTTTGTGAAGCTTTGATATCAATTGAAGGAAAAGTTTGGACTGTGGGGGAAGTTTTAAAGAGCCTATCACCAAACAATTCAATTTATAAAAGATGTTACCTAAAATTGAAGTCTTACATGTTTCATATAATTTGTATCTTTAATAGGTAAACATTATACCAATTATAGGCAAAGCAGACAGCATTTCTAAAACCGAGCTACAGAAGTTCAAGAACAAAATAATGAGTGAATTAGTTAGTAATGGTGTCCAGATATACCAGTTTCCAACTGATGATGAAACCATTTCTAAAATTAATACCATCATGAATGTAAGTAAATGACAAAAACATTGACATTTCGGTACTAAAGCATCAGTGTCTAATGCCGATTCATGCCTGTTCTTTCACCCTTATCTTGACGCTAATATGTTTGTATGTAACAAGTTTGTTTATTTTTCTCTCTCCTTAAAAAGCTTGTATGTTTTTGTTGTTTTGTTTTGGTTTTTTTTTCCCCTACTTGCAAATCTTCCTGTCCCTCTGCTGTTGATAGCACTTGTTTTAGGAGGCTTTTTATTTTCTGGCTCATAAATACTTTTTCTGATTTCTGGATAATTAATATATAATTACTAAGACAGATGGACAGATTGGCCTTGTTCTTTTCCTCAGCAAATACTACCTTACATCTGTTATGGAAGATATTCAAGTGCCTCGTTTCTCCAATTTTCTCTGATCTTTATGATAGCAAGTCATCCATCTGCTTTTTCTTTTTATTTGGTACTTTCATTTGAAATTGGGACAAATTTTCTCTGGGGATTAAAAATTCAATAATAATTATGCCTTTTTTACTATTGTCCTTTCAGATCCTCCCAGGAGTATCTGCCAGCTTCAACTAGGCTTGCGACGCTTGAAGTCTTTGCTTTGAGCACTCTGTCTGTGTTTGCTGTTCATGTGCAGATGTTTGTAGATGCACATGAACATATATTTGCGTGTACTGGGGTTTGAAAGTAGGGAGGAGGAGCCAGTGTGCTGGAGCGTATGGCTCTGCCATCCCACCTCTGTCACTTGTGCCAGGGAGTGAGGATGTGCAGGCTGTCCTTCAGTAACAGGTCCTTCTGCTGTGGGGAAGGGTGGTGGTCTGTTAACTTATCCCCTTTCATGCTCTTCTAGTGATTTATTTTCCAGTGAATAATTTTTTTTTTTAATACTTTTTGTTTGATCAGTTGTTGTGGGTCAGCACGCAGTCAGTACCCAGCCTGTATTTCTGGCCATTTGGCTGAGCCCACAGCAGTAACCATGCCTCGGGTTCAAACCTGTGATTGTCTTGTGACTCTTACTGGGGATATGAACTCCGGCTGAATGCAAATCAGAGGGATGATTGTCTTTACTTCTGATACTCTCCCTAATGCAGCTCAGGGTATACTCGGCCACCTTTGCCAGTGGGGCAAACCTGATGCATCAGGTCCAACCTGTTGTCCACCAGGAGCCCCACATCTTTTTCTGCAAAGTGCCTTTCCACACAGTCGGGCCCCAGCATGTGCTGGAGCTTGGGGTTCTTCCTCCTGACGTGCAGGACTTGGCATTGTCTCGCTTGAACTTCATGAGATTCCTGTTGGCCCATTTCTCCAGCCTGTCCAGGTTCCTCTGAGTTGGCAGCACACCCATCTGGTCTATCAACCGCTCCTCCCAGTCTAGTTGTCGCAGCTTGACTTTCGTATCAGTAGTTTGACTAGCTACTGATCTCTTCAAACTGGTTTTTGGTTTTAAACTGCCTATTGGCTTTTCCTAAAATGGTGCTTTTCCCCTCTGATTTATTTCTGAAAGGTTTGCTTTTTCAGTTCTGACATTAAAATGCTGAGAGATAAGACTGTGTTGGTGTGACTGTTGACAGGGGCACTTGCCATTTGCCGTAGTAGGAAGTACAGAAGAGGTGAGAATTGGAAACAAAATGGTGAGAGCTCGCCAGCACCCTTGGGGCATTGTACAAGGTAAATGAATTCTCAAAGGTATTTTTATGAGATTTTTGTTGTTGTTATTGAAGTTGTTGTTATGAAGGCTGGTGTTATCCACCGATCACAGAATGACACAATGATATGGGGTTGGAAGGGACCTCTGGAGATCATCTAGTCCAACCCCCTGCCAAAGCAGGTCCACCTAGAGCAGGTTGCACAGAAATGTGTCCAGGTGGGTTTTGAATGTCTCCAGAGAAGGAAACTCCACCACCTCTCTGGGTGGCCTGTTCCAGTACTCTGCCACCCTCAAAGTGAAGAAGTTTCTCCGTATGTTTAGGTGGAACTTCTTATGTTCAAGTTTGTGCCCATTTCCTCTTGTCCTGTCACTGAGCACCCATGAAAAAAGACTGGCCCCATCCTCTTGATTATATTTTTGGATCAACAGTTAAAGGACTTTAGCAATTAATACTTAAGGTATGCACTGGTTTCATCAACACTGATGCATCCCTGTAATCAAACTATGAGATGCTGTATGTTATGTTTGGGTAGGTTAGTATGGTGGCGGTGCCTGTAGCACTGTCAAATTTCAAAGTTTTATGAGAAGAAGGAAAAAAAGAGAGAAATTTATTGTTGTTCGACTCAAACAGGAGATCAGGATGTGTTGGAACCTGTTCACCAGTACTTATTGTTAGTGCTTCAATGTGTATATTAGAAATTATAAGCATATAAGTATGAGGTATAATAAATGAAATACCTTTTCCTGGAAGTATAATTAGCAAACAAAATGAATTAATCTCAACACTGTTTAAAATATATTTGGACAATTTTGCTACTTGTACGTAATAATAAAATCTTCCTCTTTTAACTCATTAGTGGAAAATGAGAACCACTGTGACTTCGTAAAGCTTCGTGAGATGCTTATTTGCACAAATATGGAAGACTTAAGAGAGCAGACTCATGCACGACATTATGAGTTGTACAGGCGCTGCAGACTGGAAGAGATGGGCTTCAGAGATGTTGGTCCTGAGAACAAACCAGTCAGGTAAAGGATGTCTTGTGCAGCACTTGCTTTCAGCATTCATTCACTTCACGTTTGACTCTATCAACCCAATACAGAGCAGGATCCATACATAAAATAGGTTTTCGAAAAGGGAAAGAACTGCTTTGTTTTGGTTTTTTTTTTTTTTGTGTTTGTTTTTTTTTTTTTTTGTGTTTGTTTTTTTTTTTTTTTGTGTTTGTTTTTTTTTTTTTAAAGTCAGAGTAAATATGTAGCTGTTCATTCAGTTGTCTTCACGGAGAAGTATATGGGATTATATGAGCATTGGTTTGAAAGGCATACAAGCTAGTTGTACTTCTGAAATCTTTCTCTTTTAGAATAAACCTGGGGATTTTAGTTTTTGTCACAGAGAATATCAGTTTACTTCAGGTACATGTGTTTTATGCCTTTTAAATTATTTTCATTCTATGATAGCATGCTGTTTTAGTGTCTCAATAAGGTCTGGTTCTGAACAATGATTTGGTTGGACTCAAAGTTCAGAAGCAACTGAAGCAAAAGCTTTTACAAAATCATTGGTTACACTGTTGGCTTCCCACATTATCTGCCATAATAAAAAATGTCTAGCCTTTTCAGGTCAAGAAATCTCTTGCTAGACTGTAGGAAGTTAATAGAGGATTCCAAAGGAAAGTTAAGCACAGGGTTAGAGACACTCGGTTGTTTCATGTAGTGAAGTTGCTTTCTGCAGGAGGCATTTACAATTTCTATATCCAGTTTGTTTAATCTTTATTTCCAATTCTGTCATCTCCCTCTTCCAACTTCCTTTGGTCATTTTATGCATGTGACTGTATTTTGCAAGTGGTTAGAATCCTGATGGGGAAGAACTGATGCTTCAGGAATTGTTCAATCCTTTGCTATTTAGCAAAGGGCTATTATTGCATATTCATGGTGGGAAATACCAATTTAAACCAGACATGAAAACAAAATGCAACTTTGCATTAAAAACAGTTTCTAGGGCTTTGAATAAACTGGTTTGTTTACTTCTTGTTTTGCTTAGTGATCAGACTGTCTTTACCCATTTTTTTCTGGTAAAAATAAATTACTTTTAAATGGCTTCTCTCCAAATAGTTGTTTTTAGTGGCTTGAATTCCTTGCTTTCACCTGTACATTGCACTGGAGTTCTAAAGCAGTTGTGGTTACTGTAACTCATAGAGTGTTGATGGAGCAGCATTTCTTTCACTTTGATTAGGTCTAATTTATATATTGTTCAAACAATAATAATTAAATAAGATTAACATGGCCAAGGAAGAGGCACTTCTTTCTGAAGTCTTAATGTCGAGGCACATTTAAAGATTAGTTCATTTAGATGATCTTGAGCTGACTGTGAATCACAGTGGTCTCTTGACATTTCTCTTGACTTAACAGGAAAGGAATAAATCCTTGTAATAAATAGAGACCCAAAAGTGAATGACATTTAAAACCAACTGACCAGAGTCTTTTCATTAGGTTTAAGTTTAAGAACATACACCATCAGCTGATACTTTGTTATCTTTGTCTGGGGAAAGTTTTTTTAGAGCTTTGTTCATGGCAATATTGACTGCAGTACCTATGGCTTTTCTGAACTTGAATTTCCACAATGTACAGCCATCTCAAAATAAGAGTTAAATTATAAAAATGATCCTCCATAGAACTGTTTTTTTCCATAAACACAAGAATTGTCTTAGTAAAACCCCTAAACAGTTTGCATTTTACTAATGATACAAAGTTGCAGGTTTGTATCGGAATGTCATAGTATTTTATGCTTCAGAAGTTGGTTTAGAAATTGATTGCTTCATGGAGATGCAGAAAAGCTAAATTCTCTCTGGTATGTAGTTTTTATGTATGGTCCACGAAATGCCAGTTTATTGAGAGCTTTGTGGCAAGACAATACACTTTTAATAATTAGTTTTGGTAAATTGCATCTATCAAAAATGTCATTGTTTTGGAAGGATGAGAATAGGTATTCGACAAGAATCTGGAAGAATTAATTTTTTCCTAGTTTACTGCCGACAGTCAGAGAGAAGTGGGTTTAGAATGTGTGGTTGTCCTTCAGATATATGGCATTGTGGATGACAATAAGTTCTGAAAGAGAAGGGGTTTGGTCTCTTGGGGGAGATGTTTTATGATGCCATGAAAAGCGAAGAGAAATTAGATGATCTGTGTTTGTGGGCTAGTGTAGCCTTACCCATAAGGTGTTTTATGAAGCTATAGAGGAAACAATAAAAAGTATCGTCCTCAGCAGTGTGATAGAAAACATCTCTTTCCGTAGAGGAAGTTCAGTCCTTCCCATTTTGCTGATGTGTGAATTTAAATATCTTTCAGAATAGGGACTATCCTGTTCTTTTAGGCAAAAATGTGTTATTAAATTGTCATCCTCTTTGTTTTTAATGACGTTTGCAACATGTTCACATGGATTCTAAGAGCTATAAAGTATAGTTAATATTACATAGCAGTATATGATGATTAAAATTTCATGCTACTGGTGTAAATAATGATCTAAATGCATGTTGAGATGTCATATTTTGTGTCTGTGATGTAGCTGTCTATGTAGCAAATTTGGTAATCTGAATTGGGTTATTTTATGTAAATTTAGAAAATTTCTGCTAGGCTTGAATAATTGGCTGATTTTACTGCAGTGGAGTTTGTAGCATTTGAACATTGATACCTGAGTAGCTAACGTGCTCTGCCTCTTGACATGTCATGAAAAAGCTGCCTGTGAAGTTTCTGTACCACTCTTGGATTTTAAAGTACAACAGTATTTTATTCATGCAAAATTGCATGCCACTGCAAAGCAAAACCAGTAGTTCTTGGATTTTCAGCCCCCTTGTGAGAAAGGTTGTGGGCAGACATCTGTAAAGGCTTTCACTCTTACATGTGAAAAAACATGTTGGCAAGCTTTATTTTTTTATGGGAGACTTGGAAAGAGATGGTTTCAGTACACAACAGAAAAATATATTTGCATCTTTATTACTAGGTGTAAGGTGGGAAAATAAAGATAGTAGTAGTCTGAAGTGGCTGTCTTGTGTGCACTTTTAAAAATACCTATTCCCTAATCCTATATTTTCTGTGAAATTGTGTCATAATAGCCTTTTAATTTGTTTATTTGCAATTGCATTGTGAGACTTAACTTTTTCATTAACCAGATTGCCAGGGAAGATGAAGTTTACGTGATCAGTTTGTTAGTCTCTCCTAAATAGTTTATGAACCAACACTCCATTTTCAAACTTCAGTAGAGGGTTGGAAGCTGCCAGGGGATTACATGGTTAGTGTTCTCACTGCAGGAAAAGCAGAAGACCTCTGCTCCTACTAGTTGTTGGCCAGCCAGTGTGCATTTAATGTCAGTAAATCATTACCTCTGAATGAAGTACTGTCTTCTGAAACTCTTGGGAGCTTGGCAGTACTGCCCTAGGATGAGAAGGTCATAGGTGATTTGGAAGTGTCTAAGGCTACTCAGACGTGAAAGTCTAAGGCACTTGAAAGATCCACCTGAGTATTCACAGTAAGTAAAAAATATATAGGAAGTCCAGAGGGACACTAATTGTAGAGTTCAAAAGGTGTAAGGGTGTAGAGAGGACTTTGGATATTACAATAATTGAGAGAATAGAACACAAAATCCTCCATAGGAATTTGGGCTATTAATCCTGCTGCTTTCAGGACACCTGGTTTATACTGGCATTTTGTCAAACCACTATTTATTTAAATTGGATAACAATAATTAGCATAATATAAATTAATGGATAATTTGGGATTTACTTAATCTCATTCATATGCCTTGCAAAAACAATACACAAAACTTTTTTATGAAGAGTTTTGTCTTATAGTGGGATATCATTCCAAAAGGTCATGAGAATTACAGTCATGTATGTACCATATCAGATCAAAGTAGAACATGGTAAACCACTTTAAAAATGAAGAATCCACTGTATGCTGCTTCAGGGAATAAGTGGAATACTGTCTAAGGCTAAAATTAGTCATCTAGGTATAATTTGTTTTCCAAGCCATGAAAAACAGCCAATCAAGAATGGGATTGGAAAGCCTGTTACGGCAAAAATTATGTAATGAAGTCAATGGATAGCAGAGTATTTGGGGGGATGGTTTATGCATTTTATGCAATATCTGTTGGATGTAAAATCCAGAAAGTGCTTTTATTATAATTTTTTTAATACTTGAAATCGGGTTTTGCATTTCTATGTTACTGAAAAGTAAAGATAGACTTTTTTTTTTTGTATGGATGGCTGAGTCCTGCCTTTTTGACAGTCCAATTATGTCCATTAGGAACACGAATTCCTAGTTTCAGGTCAAACTAAGCAAGACATAATTGCTGAGATGTCCCAAATGGAAAAATTTCAGATAGCTTAAAACAAAAATCTAGTCATGAAGACCGCTTCCAGCCAAGCAGGCTTCTAAATATATACACACCTAACAATCATAGATGTTTGCAAGGGAGGAGAGGATTACTACTATTTTGAAGTTGGACATTTTGTAAATCCATTTTCCAATCTAAGCTATGTTGTTGCTTAAGGGGACATTCTTGTTTTGAAAGGAGAAAGCTAATAGGCAGGATTCTGTTGAAAAAAGCTGAAGACTGATACTCGGGCTGCGTGCTTGCATATTTGGATTCTCTGATGTTAATCATTCTCTTGTTTAGTTGTTTTTCTGTGCTTATAATTACAGTTTGTTCTTCATCGTAATTGCAGTTCAATGGAATTGTAACATAAACATCTTGGTTTCTCCGTATGTGAACAATCATATATTCCATGCTTTATTACTTCCTGAAACTGGGATATTCAGACCTTGCAGTTCTTGAACAAAAACATGTTTATTTTTCAGTCTCTTTTAAGGACAGTGGCAGAAAACCAGGAAGGATTCAGTAATGTGAATAAGTTTACATGTAGAGGAAGGTTGATACCACTTTATGTGTCTTTTCTAAGAAAGGAAACCTAATATGAAATGCTGTTAGACTTCTTCCTTGAGAAGACACTTGGGAAAGGAGTTCATCTGACCAACTGCAGACTTTTGCATTTGATCTAAATATTTTAACCTCCTTGTGGTAAGACTGAACCGCATCCAAAATACCTGTTTTTCATGACTCCACTGGGAAAATGGTAATTATTTATATTGCCACATCCTTAGTGTTGCTTAATATCAACGTAGGTAGTTCACTGAGTCAAGGGACTATGCTAAAAATACCTGCCACTAGTCAACTTTTACATTTTTTAGTTTTTCTGATATACCTTAATTGATAGTAAAATGTTTTGCAAAAAGTTAAAGTGTAGTTTTCAAATTTGAAAGTTTTATAAAGTGTAAACGAACAGACTAAAATATTGTATAAATATCTGTGTCGTTCAAAGCGCACAAACATTGTGTTCCACTGAGGGCTAAATTCTCTTAAGTCCTTATTTATGAACATAACATGTTGGATTTGCATCTTTATATTTAGGCTTCCATGTTCTAAGTCTAATGCAGATAGAAAAACTGTGTGTCACAGCAATGCTCCTGTAGAAAGGTAGGTGATAGTGCTGTTATGAGGTATGTAATGGATTAGTAAGGTGTAGAGTTTCTTCACAATCCCTTCCCTTCCTCCAAAACCTCAAGAAGAATATATTATTTAAATAATTATCTTCAACATCTTAATTTTGCAAGTGGTTTTGAACAGAGCATAAAATTCTAGAAGTCCAACCCAGAAGAACGAGCAAACCCATGAATTTGGTTTTCATAATGCTATATGGGAAGCAGTGAAACCACTCTTCAGGTAAACTGAAAAGTGTTTTACTGTGGGCAATAGATGCAGTAATGTAGAAAGCATTGGCTTAAGATCTGGTGAACTATTTTTCCCTCCTCCCCAAACTTCCTGAAACCAAAGACTGTTTGGATCATTATGTTGCTGATACGCCAAAAACAGAAGAGGAAAGTGTTGTAATTTGGTCTTGGTGATTTCTAGAAAAATTCAGTCCAGGGGGAGCGGGGATTTAAAAAAATACGCTTTTATTTCTCCTCTTCCTGAGACATGTAATCTGATTACTTAGTAAATCCAGTGTCTTCAAAGTTAATCTTTTAGTAATTTCAAGAAAAAATTTCTTTGACCTGATAAACTGGCTGAGGTTGAGTCTAAAGGTGTCCACATAATGAAATGAACATGCGATTGCAGCACGTCTAGCACTTGCTCTAGCGGCTTTATTGCATCCAAATGCAGCACGTTAGCTAGCAGAACTGACACAGGGCCCAAAAGTGGGTACAGTGAGATTGCTAGCACTTGAAAAACCTGTGCTGTAGCTTTATTGTTATTACATTTGCTGGCTAAATTTAAAGGTTGTGTGAATTAATATACCTGTGTGAAAACCATGCCCTTGTTTCACGTGGTAGATACAATTTCAGGTAACCTAAGTTACTTCATGGATGATTAAAAAACAACCAACCAGCCAGACAAAAAAACAACCAAAAAGCAAACCCCAAAAATGTTGTTGTTCTGAATTTGTTTTGTTGCAATGTATTGCTCAAATACGATAGAATAGGGAAAGTGCTCTGACCTTGAGATCTTACAAACATTAAGTCTGCATGTGCAATTTCAAGATGTTTCTTCTCTCTTTAGATTATATTTTGAATACAAATAAGAAACTTCAGGATTGGGAAACTGCCCAGTCACTGTAAATTTAAATATTGAAGAGAGCTGTTTAAGCTTACAGATTCTCTCAATAATTAAGTTTTTAGATGCCTTTTTTTGTGTGTGAGTCTTTCCATTTATAAACTGTTTTAATAGAAACAATAGAACATGAGACTTAAAAATGAAAGTGTGTAAGTGTATTAAAAATAGAAAGCAAATTTAAATGTTTGATACAAATTTATTTTACATCAGAGTGGAAGGTATGAGATACCTGGCAAAGGACAGTAACTCATGATAGCTGAGAAGGGCTGACAAGTCAGCACTCGGGAAGTGTTATAAGAGAGGAATGGTGTAAGACAATAGCCCCAGAATAAAGAGCTATAATATACTATCCATGTTTTGATCTGTTTGTAAGCCCTCTATCCTACAAGAAATTGGACAGATCCTTTTGGTTTCGTAATAACCATTAGGACAGATCCGATCCAGCAATTCTGCCTCCTTGGACCTTTGTGACTTGTGAGAAGTTTGTGATAAATGTTTTGTTGGAAGAATTTATGTTGTCAAGCAGGTATGCTTTTCAAAGGTAGCGTGCTCTTTGATGTGTGAGATACATTTGTATACAAGCTCCATTCCTTTTACCCTGAAAAGAAGAACTTTTCTTGCCAGCACTGTGGTGGTATCAGTGGTAGTACAGATCCAATGGAGGTTGGAAAATGTCCAGCCTCTAGTAATATATGAATAAATTACCAGCATCATTTAATTTGCTATGATATGCTTTGATATGAAAGACATTTGTCAGTTTCAAGTGCCTGTTGTTTGGAGGAAAAAAATTGTCTTGTGCACCGAAATGTGAGTAGAGTGATTTATTTTTTTTAAAAAAGAAAGGGAGGCATAGATTTAACAGTAAAGAAATGTTTTAATCACTTGCTGTTTTGTTCTGTTGCCATATGATGGCAACAGATGCTCAATGATCTGTACTAATTTATACCTTATATACAATCACAAATATAAATATGGTATGTAAGTAAGCAGTATATTAGCTTCTGGGAGAGAAGATTCAGGAAAAAACAAGCAGTCTTGAGGTTTTGGCTGATGCTTGTTGGAAGGTAACCCTATCTTTTGGATGTTGAACTACTTGAGGCAATTGTATATGTTCTATGTTAATATAACTGCCATATTTAAATTTTGACATTAAGAGAATTATATGCATGTTGGAGGCAGAAAGTTATAACTCAAATTCTTTTAGAACATAAGGTTCCTAAAGTGCTGTATATTACTTTGAAATGTAAATTGCCCAGGAGCTGTTAGCATAAATAATTTTACTTAGGGTTGTTTACATAAATAAAAATTTAGAAAGGTAAGATGCCTGCTTCTGTTTAAGTTTGTTGATGAATTTTTATGTGGGGAGCTGTAGAAATGAATATTAATTGTTTAAATAATGTTCCAGATTGTTGGTTTTCTACATTGAATAAAGCAGCGTGCTGGAGACTTGCTTACATTTTTGGACTTCAGTCTACAGGAAGCCTATGAGGCAAAGAGGCACGAGTTCTACCTTGAACTGCAAAGAAAGGAGGAGGAGATGAGACAACAGTTTGTACAGAGAGTGAAGGAGAAAGAAGCTATATTGAAAGAAGCAGAGCAAAAGGTAAGCATGCCTGTCTGTCCTGAGTTTGCTGAGACTTGGAACAGTTAAGTTCTTAGCAAAATCACAACTAGTTGATATTTATTATTTCCTAATACTTTGAAGACAGTAATGCTTAAAATCAAAAGTAGATTGATCACACAGATTGATTGGATTAGCAAATTGATTAGACGCAAGCAAACAAGTCCTATGAGGAGTGATTGAGGGAGCTGAGTCAGTTTCAAGTGCCTGTTGTTTGGAGGAAAAAAATTGTCTTGTGCACCGAAATGTGAGTAGAGTGATTTATTTTTTTTAAAAAAGAAAGGGAGGCATAGATTTAACAGTAAAGAAATGTTTTAATCACTTGCTGTTTTGTTCTGTTGCCATATGATGGCAACAGATGCTCAATGATCTGTACTAATTTATACCTTATATACAATCACAAATATAAATATGGTATGTAAGTAAGCAGTATATTAGCTTCTGGGAGAGAAGATTCAGGAAAAAACAAGCAGTCTTGAGGTTTTGGCTGATGCTTGTTGGAAGGTAACCCTATCTTTTGGATGTTGAACTACTTGAGGCAATTGTATATGTTCTATGTTAATATAACTGCCATATTTAAATTTTGACATTAAGAGAATTATATGCATGTTGGAGGCAGAAAGTTATAACTCAAATTCTTTTAGAACATAAGGTTCCTAAAGTGCTGTATATTACTTTGAAATGTAAATTGCCCAGGAGCTGTTAGCATAAATAATTTTACTTAGGGTTGTTTACATAAATAAAAATTTAGAAAGGTAAGATGCCTGCTTCTGTTTAAGTTTGTTGATGAATTTTTATGTGGGGAGCTGTAGAAATGAATATTAATTGTTTAAATAATGTTCCAGATTGTTGGTTTTCTACATTGAATAAAGCAGCGTGCTGGAGACTTGCTTACATTTTTGGACTTCAGTCTACAGGAAGCCTATGAGGCAAAGAGGCACGAGTTCTACCTTGAACTGCAAAGAAAGGAGGAGGAGATGAGACAACAGTTTGTACAGAGAGTGAAGGAGAAAGAAGCTATATTGAAAGAAGCAGAGCAAAAGGTAAGCATGCCTGTCTGTCCTGAGTTTGCTGAGACTTGGAACAGTTAAGTTCTTAGCAAAATCACAACTAGTTGATATTTATTATTTCCTAATACTTTGAAGACAGTAATGCTTAAAATCAAAAGTAGATTGATCACACAGATTGATTGGATTAGCAAATTGATTAGACGCAAGCAAACAAGTCCTATGAGGAGTGATTGAGGGAGCTGAGGTTGTTTAGCCTGGAAAAAAGGAGGCTGAGGGGAGACCCGATCACTTTCTACAACTACCTGAAGGGAGGCTGTAGAGAGGGTTGGGGTCGGTCTCTTTTCCCAAGTAACAGGCAATAAGACAAGAGGGGAAACAGCCTTAAGTTGCTCCAGGGGAGGTTTAGATTGGATATTAGAAAAAAATTTCTTCACTGAAAGGTTTGTCAAGCATTGGAAGAGGCTGCCCAGGAAAGTGGTTGAGTCACCATCCTGGGAAGTATTAAAAAGATGTGTAGATGTGGTGCTGAGGAACATGGCTTAGTGGTGGCCTTGGCAGTGTTAGGCTTATGGTTGGATTCAATGATCTTAAGGATCTTTTCCAACCTAAAAGATTCTGTGATTCTGTGTATGACAGTCTTCTTTGGGGGATGGAGCTTATGGTCTAAAAGCTTTGGTGGATAGCTGGGACAAGTCAATACAGTAGGAGGTGATATGGTGAAATAAGAGAGTGATGAATATAAGGGTTGCAAGTTTCTTCATCTTCTCTAGCACTACGCAGAGAAACATCGGTATGCCATAGCGCCACAGTAGATGCTTTTCACACATAGGTTGCTATGTAAAAAACAAGATTTCAGAAAAAAATCAGGAAAAAAATCCCATGGGTTGTTTTTCAGCCCAAGAGAGTGGGGTGTGTATGTTTGTATCACCTGCAGGTTGCGTTACGAAATACATGGTCAACCCTTGTGTTGAGAAGTTTGCAAGTCTGAGGGTGGTGGGGGTGATGTTGGTTTTGTTTTGTTTTTAAAATCTCATCTGCTCCCAGATGCCTTAAGAATATTTGGAGTTGTGGAACATTTCTTGAATATGTTGTTGAAGATTTAGTCCTGTCAAGCTGGTCTGGCAAAACAGGATTTTTCTCATCTGCTTCCTGCCAGACTCTGTCATGGTCATGCGTATTTATATTCAAACACTGGTTTAACTGAAATTAGAAACCTGTGTATATTTAGTGATGTTATTTTCTATACCTCAGTTTCCCAGCAGAGATGTAGGAGTTCTTGTGAGGTATTCAGATGCATGTTTTAAATAAGAAGGCAGCTTAATACTTTGCTTTCTAAATCTGTTGAGTCCTCCAAGCTACTTGTGGAGAAAAAACCAACAAGTTCAGTCCTTCTTGGTACGAAGCTATGCAATTGAAGAATACTTGGCCAAGTAGGTTCAGCCAGGTCTTACACAATATCTGTGGTACTCTTTGATGTTTTCTTTCTGTGATTTATACCGGGTGGTTTGTGAGCTCTGCATGTTGCAATTGAATTAGGGATGCTAGTTTTCCCAGTTCCTGATGGGGAAAAGTAGTCATGCAGTTGGTCCTAAAGAACACTTGCCATATACCCTTGCTGCTCGTTCTCTGAGAAGTGTGTATGTGTATCTGGAAACTAAAGAAAAACAGGATTTTCTGTTGTACTTAAGATTACTTTCACATCCTTCATTTAGAGGAACCCTGTGGATTCCTCTAGTGTGTGGCATTACCACGTCTGGAACATACAGCCGCTTAGGACCTTACTGTTTCTACTCTGAGTCTTGTTATTGGTATACCTGGTTTTGCAATGTGTCTGATTAACTGTCACAATGAATAAATAAATAAAGAGTATACATACAGACATCTATAAAATCTGACAGCTTTACTGTGTAGAACAGGCATACTGTTACATTTATAGTCTTTGTTATTTCTTAGTCCCTTCTTTGAAAAGGATGGAAATAAATCTCTCTGATTTCTATACCAGTATATTACTAAGATTGAGTAACATCAGTACAGATGGATACAGAAGCAGGATTCTAGGAGAGTTTGTGTGTGGGGAGATGGGAGGTGAGGAAAGGTGAAGTACCCTTTGGTTATCATGCACAACTTCACAGTAGGTTTAAACTGGTCAAAATGCATCTGGAAAGTAAAATCCATTAATATGTCGAAAGAACAATCAAAGAACAATTACTGCAGAAAAGCAGTTAACTTATTGCAGCCCACAAGTAACTCCCCCACCCAGATTATTGTGTGTGTACATATTAGTATGTAAATGTAATTAATGTACATATTAACATTATGTATGAAAATACATACCCGTGTAACTAAAGTATGTATGATTCCTTTCCAGCTTGGTTTCAGGGAAGTAGATTCTACTTGAAAGATCCTGATTTAATCCCTCTGTTGGTAATTATTTCCTCTCTAAAGGCCTCCTTATTTTTGATTTAACCAAGAAATAGTAAAATCTAGTAGGAAGTTCAATATTCACTTAGTGTCTTCCATGTGCCACCTGTACTTCCTGTGTAGTAGCCTGGCTTCTATGAGAACAATCTGATATGAATGATTTTTTATTTTTTTTTCTGGATTGCCATTTTTTAGTATTATCAGGTTTTGGAAAGAACTACAATGTTTTACAACTTTTAGCACAAGCTGAGGTAGGGTTTACTGTTTAATTGCAGAGGGGTTTTGTGTTGTGATATCACCACCTTGTGTTACTAGTTGGGAATATATTTTTTTGTGTGCTTTCTTTAAACAGGTACACACTAAATTTGAAGAACGTATGCTAGCGCTTCAAGAAGTGAAACTAAAATTGGAGAAAAAGAAAAAAGTTCTAGAAGATGAAATAACAATGTTTATTGAGAAGAAAGCTAATGCTGAAGTACTCCAGTCGCAAGCATCTGTCTCTACCCCGCTTCTTAGTTTGAAGAAAGACAAGGACCGCAAAAAGTATGTACTGATGCTGGTCATCGGAGGCAACAAAAAAAAATTTCTTCATATATCACTTTTATAAAGCAAATTTTAGTAATTTTTTAGAAAAAGTACAAACATGCTCCTATTCTGTTATGTGATAAGAAGACAGAAGTGTGTAAAATATCCTCATGCTTGGATCACTGGCTCTGAAATGTATTTTTAGAGTAATTGCTGTGTGTTCTATGAGCATTCTTTCTTTTTTTTTCTTTTTTTTTTTTTTCCATGAAGGAACCCAGGTTTTCGACTTGAACTCCTGTGCTTTGATGTCAGAGATGAAGACATGAATGTTCAGGAAAAGAGGGAGAGGGAGAAATTAGAGAGGGAGAAAAGATCACCCAAGAAATTCCAGAAATAGTACTTGATTACAGCAATCAGGTTTTGAATGTAGGGTATGTTAGTTTTATAAAGCAGTCCGAGTGCCACTGTCCCTTAATACTAGATGTGTCTTCGTAGTACAGATTTTTGAGAGGAGAGACTGATAAAATTGGCTGTAAAATTACAGAGTGTAGAATATGACCTGATAAACACCGACTTCTTTCTTTCTCCATTCCTAAAACAAAAGCTCTAATAAATTGTGAACTTTCTGAAATGTATTCAAAAGTAGTTTCCAGAATAACATGCCCATCTTCTTTATATATATAGAAAATTAAATGTTCATGTATAAACATAAAATTGAATTAAATTTTTTTTTGCTCCAAACCCAGGAGTCAATTAACTTATTAATTTCCTTTCCTGATAGTTTACAACTTTACTGCAGATAAAATTTTATTGATTAGTATCTTCCTGCAATTTATAACAGATTTTTTTGTACAGAAACTCTTCGTAACTGCTAGATTATGAAAAACATTAGAAGCAAGATGGCTGCAAATATTTCCACAAATATCATCAAGACAGTGTTGACATTTTTGGGGTGTATGCTAGCAGCCTGCCTGTGTTTTTGGCAAAATCTATTGCATTTCAAGTAATGTTACTGAGTTCCTTTTTCTGGATTTACTTATGGAAGTAGAATACCTGGTAGCAGATGTAATTATCTGCACTATTATGAGTAACTCTCAACTTCAGAAAATTTTTAGATTTGTTTTCCCTGTTTTAGTTTTATTTTTCAGAGTATGTTACAGTTTACATGCTTGCTTTTGTTTTTCATTTTCAGCTTTACATCATACTGATGACAGAAGAAACAATATTGGTAATTTCTCTTAAGGAAGCGAGGATTTGATGTGTGCTATTGGAGGTATAGGAGTTGCAGTTTCTTACTGAAGGATTTGGAAAACATCTCTTGTTGCTGCGTGCTGCAAAAGAAGAGTTTTGAAGTATGATCTGTACACACACGGTGCAGCAATTACTGTCATTGCCATCACGGACTGTTTGTTACGAGTCTGCCTTGATATGTATTTGCCTTACATATGTGTGGCCAGCTTGCTTTCCTTTTAAGTGCACTGTACCAAAGAAAATGTCCCTGCCATAAACAGTTCCACTCATTATATGAACGCTGTAGCACAAAAGTATTCAGTGAATATGTACTTTCAGTGAATATAACCTTTCTGAGAGCAATTTTCATATGGTATATTAGTCTACTAAATATTCTTTAATACAGCTGTTGACATAATTCAACATTTACTTGCTTTTATGTACAGGCACTGTCCTCATTTTCAGATACGATCATTCTAATCAAAATTTATTGAGGTATTTTGCAGTGCTGTACTGTTGCATGACAATTTATCTGACATTACTGACTTAATATGGAAAGTACCTATAACTTTTTGATGCTTGTGACTGTCGTATTCAGTTACAGCAGAGGATGAACTTTAAAAAATAACTGCAAGAACTTCAGGTTAAAACAAGTTTAAAATGTTTTTTATCTTTTCAGTAGCCATGGTAACTAATGGGAAACTGTAAGAAGTACAGTTCCCTGAAGCTGTTTTGTGCGACTCTTCAAAAATTAAATACTAACTTGATAGAAATAAAATACATTGGTTTTGCTTAAGGTTTTCTGTTGTTCTGCCTCTTCTCCCTCCCAGATTATTAAAAACAAGGAGTAAGATTTCACATTAATCTGAAAAGTATAAATGTTTCACATCTGTTTTAAATGTCTTAAGTCATTTATTGACTCGGAAAAATAGATGATTTGTGCATATTGTGCCAGAAAGGCAATATGACGTGGGATGTTCTTGTCATATACCACCGTAGTGAATCAGAGAATATCTCAAGTTGGAAGGGACCCAAAAGGACCATCGAATCCAACTCCCTGCACCTTGTAGGGCTACCTGAAGGTAAACCGTATCGCTAAAAGCATTGTCCAGGCACTCCTTGAACTCTAGCAGGTTTGGTGTCATGACCACTGCCCTGGGGAGCTTGTTCCAGTGACCAAACTCACCTTCTGTTTTGCTCACACTGTGATGCATATGATATAAGATTGTTTTCCTTCACTTCTGTAGCAATGGGAAAGAATAGATACTGATATACGAAAACCCTTCATTGACCAGGAGAGGGTCAAACTGCTAATTCTTTCAGCTCTGCAGGCACAGCAGGTAACAGGAGGAAAAGAGGAGACAGCCATTTATCCTGGACACTCGTCCAATGTGTAACTGATGCTTCTTTCAAGGGAAGAAAGTTGGCCAGGGCCAGGACCTGTGATTGCTGTCTGCTTGCTCCTTTGTGAGCAAAATGTAGCTTGATGAAAGACTTATTTTTTCTCTTAGCTTTGTGCTATTGACTGGGCCAGTATCTGTTTGATTAGAAACAAGGTATACACCTTTCTTAAAGGAGGTAGCAGCCAAATGAAAAAAAAAATATCATTTTTTTTAAACTGAGAGGTAGATTTTGAAGTGTAATCAAATGGTCTTGAGCACAATGTAATTACAATCAAGTGATGTGTGCTGTCAGCCCTCAGTTATCCCCACACGGATTAGCGCAGCCGCTGATGTTAGTTAGCTCAAGTGGTACAAAATTGCATCAGAAGACAGATTTAGCTGTCTATAGTGTGGCTGCTTTGCTGAAGACAAAGCCCGAGACGGTTAACTACTGTTTGACCTAGATAGTTCTGTGCCTGGCCCGTATTAGAGGATGTGCTGTGCTTTGACAGCTGGGAACCATGAATAGTAGGGGATGGGTACCACATGTCTTGGTCAGGATGGGTTTGTGTTCGGTTGCTCCTGTTAGTCCTGCAGGACTCAGCAGCAAAACAAAACTGGTGCAGGAACCCGTGGAGGTCTTTGGAACAGGTGGCAGTTAAAGGGAGTTTGTTCAGTTGTAGTACAAGATGACGTAGCCCCAAATGAGAAAGCTGATGGGTTTTTCTTTTTTTTCCCTAATATTCATTAAAGCAGCGGTGAGTCATCTGTAGGTATGGGAAATTCCATAGTTGTTTTGTTGAAGTTTGCCTAAAGATGAGATGTCAGATAAGCACACAAGTGCACATCTCAGGCTGATAGTCAAATGCGGTTCAAAGAATTATGAAGGAACAGCTAACAGTATCTCTTGAAAGTGGAGAATTAATAGTGGTAGTAAATAAAAACGTATATGCCTCACTGTAGTTTATCTTAGTTGTGGGCTTTTTAATTGAGCACTTCAGAGAGGTTTATGCTGCAGATGAAATTATTTCAGGACTATTTATTGAGGTCTCTTTATTGTTGCAGTATCTTCTGCAAGTGGCTATTGCGAGATTATTTGCAGTCTGTGCAAGTTTGAAACCTTTACCTTTTTAGATCCTTTCCTTAGGATACTTTCAATTTATATTTTTTATATTTATTCTTAACTATATCTTTACAGTTACTTTGGCACAAGGAGACACAGCCAGGATGCATAAGTAGTTTTATCTTAACTCTCTTTCTTAAATTTGATTTCAGAAACATACTTAGATTTGCATTGTGAAATTAGGTAGAGGATATGTTGGACTTCAAAAATTAAGAATGTATGGACATTGGAAGTAAGGACAGGCAGCATGGAAGGACTACAGAGATGCTGTTCACCACTGTAGGGAGAAAATTCATGTGGCCAAAGCTCAATTAGAGTTCAAGCTGGCCAACACTGTGAAGGACAGCAACAAAGGGTTTTAAAAATACATTAACAACAAAAAGAGTATCAGAGATAACATTGGTTTGTTGCTTGATGAGGTTGGTCACCTCACCAATAGAGTCAGAGATGCTGTTCACCACTGTAGGGAGAAAATTCATGTGGCCAAAGCTCAATTAGAGTTCAAGCTGGCCAACACTGTGAAGGACAGCAACAAAGGGTTTTAAAAATACATTAACAACAAAAAGAGTATCAGAGATAACATTGGTTTGTTGCTTGATGAGGTTGGTCACCTCACCAATAGAGTCATAGACAAAGCAGAGATGTTTAATGCCTTCTTCACCTCTGCCTTTAGCACCGATGATGGGCCCTGAGACCCCTGGAGCCTTATGTTGAGAGACCATGACTGGGGGGGATGGTAAACTCTCAGCTGATGCTGAACTTGTTTAAGACTTGCTGCTCCAGCTGGATGCACATAAATCTATGGGTTGATGGGATTCATCCCAGGGTGCTGAAAGAGCTGGCTAATATCATCACGGGAACTCTCTCCCCTTTTTTTTAACCGTCTTGGGAGCCTGGAGAGGTCCCAGTCAATTGGAAGCTAGCAAATCTCCCAATTTTCAAGGATAAGAAGGAAGAATTACAGGTTTGTCGGTCTTGCTTCAGTGCCTGGTAAAATTATGGAAAAGGTTATTCTGGGAGTTATTGAAAAGCACTTGAGAGACAATGCAGGGATTGGTTGTAGCCAGCGCCTGAGACCCCTGGAGCCTTATGTTGAGAGACCATGACTGGGGGGGATGGTAAACTCTCAGCTGATGCTGAACTTGTTTAAGACTTGATGCTCCAGCTGGATGCACATAAATCTATGGGTTGATGGGATTCATCCCAGGGTGCTGAAAGAGCTGGCTAATATCATCACGGGAACTCTCTCCCCTTTTTTTTAACCGTCTTGGGAGCCTGGAGAGGTCCCAGTCAATTGGAAGCTGGCAAATCTCCCAATTTTCAAGGATAAGAAGGAAGAATTACAGGTTTGTCGGTCTTGCTTCAGTGCCTGGTAAAATTATGGAAAAGGTTATTCTGGGAGTTATTGAAAAGCACTTGAGAGACAATGCAGGGATTGGTTGTAGCCAGCGTGGGTTCATGAGGGGAAAGTCCTGCTTAACCAACTTAATTTCCTTTTATGACAAGGTCATCCATCTAGCTCATCAAGGGAGGCCAGTGGATGTGTTGTATTTTTTTTTATTTTAGCAAAGCTCTTGATACTGTCTCTCACAGTATCCTTCTGGACAAAATGTCTGGACAGAGCTCGACAAGTTCTTAATATGTTGGGTGAGCAATTGGCTGACAGGTCAGGCTCAAAGAATTATAATAAATGGGATTACACCAGGTACTAGGAGGGTTCCCCAGGGCTCAGTTTTAGGGGCAGTGCTCTTTAATGTTTTTGTAAATGATCTGGACACAGGAATATTGAGTTTGACGATGTTACTAAATTAGGAGGAGCTGCGGACTCCCTTAGTGTAGACAGAGACAGAGAGATCTGGATAGACTAGAGAGCTGCACAATCACTAACTGTATGAAATGTAACATCTGGATAGACTAGAGAGCTGCACAATCACCAACTGCATGAAATGTAGAGCAAGGGCTGGATTCTCCACCTGGGATGGAGTAATCCTGGATATATGTACAAATTAGGGGCTGAGAGGCTGGAGAGAAGCCTCGTGGAAAGAGATCTGGGGGTTTGGGTTGATGGCAAGTTAACTATGAGTCAACGGTGTGCCCTGGCAGCCAAAACGACCAGCCGTGCCCTGGGGAGCATCAAGCACAGCACAGCTGGCTGGTCAAGGGAGAAAATTCCACTAGGCACTAGTTCAGTAATCCTGGATATATGTACAAATTAGGGGCTGAGAGGCTGGAGAGAAGCCTCGTGGAAAGAGATCTGGGGGTTTGGGTTGATGGCAAGTTGACTATGAGTCAACGGTGTGCCCTGGCAGCAAAAACGACCAACCGTGCCCTGGGGTGCATCAAGCACAGAACAGCTGGCTGGTCAAGGGAGAAAATTGTCCCACTCAACACTGCACTGGTGCAACTCCACCTCGAGCACTGTGTAACTCGACACTGCACTGGTGCAGCTCCACCTCAAGCACTGTGTGCAGTTCTGGGCACCTCAATATGAGAAGGACATTGAACTATTAGAATGTGTCCAGAGGAGGTAACTTAGTCTGTTCAGCTTGGAGAAGAGGAGGCTGAGGGGTGACCTCATTGTTGTCTACAGACTTCTAAAACAGGGCAGCAGAGGGGGAGGTCCTGATCTCCACTCTCTGGTGACCAGCGACAGGACATGAGGAAATGGAATGAAGCTGTTGGGGGAAGTTCAGATTGGACATTAGGAAAAGTCTCTTCACAGAGCGGGTGGTCAGTCACTGGAACAGGCTCCCTAGGGCAGTGGTCACAACACCAAGACTGGCAGAGTTCAAGGACCACATGGATGATGCCCTTAGCCATATGGTTTATTTTTCGGTAGTTCTGCAAGGGGTATGGAGTTGGACTCGATGGTCCTTACTGGTCCCTTCCACCTTGAAATATTCTATAATTCTATGATTTTAACTTAGGGAAACATGAGCCTTTTCCATAACATCATTTCTATATAGAAAGGCAAATGCTCAAAATGTCTGGTGCAATTCACATTCAGCATATTGCTGCAAAAAGTAGTGTAGTGTAATTCCCAGACAGGTAAAGTACCTAACTGGATTTTTATAAGGTAATGAGGCATCTACCTCTCCTTATTTTCTTTACTAAATATATTTTTTAGAATCCAGACCCTAGCCTCAAGGCAATAAACACTGATAGATACTTGCGGGATTTAAAAACAGAAAAAAAAAATCCACTTCAGGAGGATTTTCACTAGGGTGCGCTCCAAGAACGTGCCTTTCTCTTTTGGGGCCAGGACTGCGGCACTGAGCAAATCTGTCACTGGCCT